TTCACGTACTCCTCGCCTCAGGCCACTCCTCTGTCTACTCGCCACTCGCTCTTTGCTCTACCTTCGGATGAGTCCGTAGAGCCGAGTGGCTCGTACCCAGAGCTTGTTGGCTACCTCATGTAGCTGATTACCTGCACTCGACATGACCTTGCATACACTCTTAGCATCTTGGCACGCTATGTTGCTCGTGGGAGACACCGACCAGAGCACATGGCTGCAGCGAAGAGGGTGTTGCGCTACTTGTGCAGTACGTCGGGCATGGGGCTAGTGCTTGGAGGGCGACGTCGAGTGGTCCTCATCGGTCACGCTGACGCTTCTTGGGTTGACGACCAGGCTACGCAGCGGTCGTCACAGGGCTACACCTTCAGCCTTGGCTCCGGCTCTGTTTCGTGGCGGTCTACTCGCTCGTCTTCTGTTCTCGGCTCCAGCTGTTAGGCTGAGATGTACGCGGGGGCCATGGCTGAAGGTGTAACCCTGTGACGACCGCTGCGTAGCCTGGTCGTCAGCCCAAGAAGCGTCCGCGTGCCCAGTGAGGACCACTGGACTCCGCACTCCAAGCACTAGCCCCATGCCCGACGTACTGCACAAGTAGCGCAACACCCTCTTCGCTACAGCCATGTGCTCTGGTCTGTGTCTCCCAGGAGCAACATAGCATGCAAGAATGCTAAGAGGGTATGCGAGGTCAGGTCGTGTGCAGGTCATCAGGTACATGAGGCAGCCAACAAGCTCTAGGTTTTTTTTTTTTTTTTTTTTTTTTTTGAACGAGAATGAATTGACTTAGGAATGGAAGTGATACAAATATGCAACCCTAGAAATGTGTGCCCCATATAGGCTACCCCACTATAGCCTACACAATATTATAATTTGACATCGTGGGTGGTGCCGATCGCTTCGTGCCAAATGATCGGTTCGGCACGTGGCGTCGTGTCTCGGGTGTCAGAATCCCAACCACTAGACCATTGGGATAAAAAGGCTTGTTAAGTAGCGGGTCAGTGCGCCCATAACCCCCCAGGACAACGAGCCTGTAACCCTTCCCTAGGATCAATCGGGGATCACCAGTGGACCTCTGACACCCCCCCGCACTGGGATGCCCGAAGTGCATACACCGGGATTCGAACCCGAGACCGCTCTGATACCATGTCAGAATCCCAACCACTAGACCATTGGGATAAAAGGGCTTGTTAAGTAGCGGGTCAGTGCGCCCATAACCCCCCAGGACAACGAGCCTGTAACCCTTCCCTAGGATCAATCGGGGATCACCAGTGGACCTCTGACATCGGGTTCAAATAGCATCAGCGCATCGAATCTCTCTGCTGCACGGACCATGTCGCGGTAGCTGTTGTAGTTCGCAGCAATCACCTGTTGGTGAACTTCCATCTTTAACCCCTCAGTATACGCTTGGACTTTTTCCCCTTCGGTCAGGTCGGTAATTCGGTTGAAGAGGCTCTCCATCTGCTTCGTGTACTGTGTTACACTGCTGAACTATTTATGCCGATGAATCTGCTGTCGCGCCATGTAGCTGGATTTGATTGGTTCGAAACGTTGAATTAAAGCTTCCCGAAACTGCGTCCATGACCCCTCGCCTCGGATCTTATTGCCGTTGTAAATCCACTCGAGCGCTGGGCCTCGTAACAGTGTCACTGCGAGCCGAATCCGCATTGCATCTTGTGTCGGGGTCGTACAACCAACGGCCTCGAAGTAAATTTTGAGAGTCGCAATGAATCAACGAACGTCAATGTCTCTCGCATTCAGATTGAACGTCTCCGGTAGCCTCGGACGTGCCGCCTCAAGATTCATTGTAGCTGCTGCCGCTTCTGCTGGGTGAAGTGTCGGTGTAGCCGTTGCTGCTACTGACGTCGCTGCTGCATTCGCCGCTTCGTTCGCTGCTGCTATGGCGGCTGGCGACTGGTTCGCGAGAAGCTCCTCTATTCGCTGGAGTGCCACTCGCGTCTGGTCCAGGCCGGTGTGTAACTCCGTAATTTTCCGTACGGAATTATCACCGTTTTCCTCCATTTGGCGATTTATAGGAAGATTTGCGACGAAAATAAATGAATTTTAGGCGCTGGTCATCTTACTGTGAGTCGAGTTGATTGCAGAAATGACGAAGGCTGATTCTATAGGTCGCGTTATTCTCCCTTAGTCGAAATTCGCTTCTGATCTCGGCCGTTGAGAAGAAATTCGATCCGACGCTCCAAATTCTGACTTGATTGGGCGAAATTCTCGAGGCCGTTGAGATTCGAATCGATCCGACGGACGAAATTCCAACTTTTTCGCCACTGGACCTGAAGAGTGTTCGAAAACCGGTTCGAGGGGGACGTTAGAAATTAGCGCGGAACTGGTTTACGTACCCGAAATCGGCGCTTTCCGTTGTCGCCCCCGCGGTTTTAAAAGCTAGGTTTAAGCGGTCGAAAACTTCGCTTGCAAACAGGCTCTGATTACCAAGTGTGAGGATCTAGGATCGAGCTCAGAAAAGAGAATTGTAATTGAATTGAATGGAATGATCACCTGGGTACAACAGGAGGCTATATATAGGCTCGACACAAGGCCCCGTAACCATGTGTTACGCGAAGGTTCCGCGGGTCGCGAAGCGTCCTGAACAGATCCTTCTCGAATTCGGTAAAAGGCAATTCGGTGGCAACCGAAAAGCCAGAAATCGGTGCACGCAACCTAGCTCGGTGCTATAACTATAATAAAATATAGGAAAGCACCTAGCCTAGGAAATCAAGCAATTCATGCATGCATATAATTATGTCAGTAGATCTGCACTGTGGATGCCCGATTGATCCTGGAGAGGGTTACAGGCGCGTTCGCCTGGGGGGTTATGGGCGCACTGACCCGCTACTGAAACAAGCCCTTTTATCCCAATGGTCTAGTGGTTGGGATTCTGACAATTCTGACATGGTATCAGAGCGGTCTCAGGTTCGATTCCCGGTGTATGCACATGTAGGCCGTTGCCGCTGTGCTTAGTCCTGGGCCTCCCATTGTGGGGGGGTATCAGTAGATCTGCACTGTGGATGCCCGATTGATCCTGGAGAGGGTTACAAGCGCGTTCGCCAGGGGGGTTATGGGCGCACTGACCCACTACTGAAACAAGCCTTTTTATCCCAATGGTCTAGTGGTTGGGATTCTGACAATTCTGACAAATTATTCTATGCTAGAAATAGCATGATAAATTAAAGGCAAGCAAGCATAGCTGGCATAAGCCGTCGTAATCTCACACCCGTTCTCTGCCCCGTGCGTAGCTCGCCAGCCCACTAGCGCGCAGCAGATGCATGCGCACGTGCAATCGTAGCCGCACATGCGATCGCGCGCACGCGCATCATTAGCCGCATGCACGTGCAACATTAGCCGCACACATGTGCGGCATTAGCATCACGCACGCGCGGCCATAGCTGCACGCACGCGCAGCAATAGCCGCTTGCACACGCAGCTCGTCAGCTGCGCTACCGTCTCACCCGTCCCCGGTGACCCACCCGGTGCCCGCTGTACCACCCGTTCTAGTCACCTCACCCTGAAGTCAGCCGCCCCACCAGCTACTTGTTAGAATACTAGCGTAACTTAGGAGCCATGGCTAGTGAGTGCCGAGAGAATTTTGGGTGAGGAAAGTCGAGAAGGAAGAATGAGGGGTTTCACTATCGAGAGTTGGGATACAAATAGCAAACCCTAAACTGGGTTGTACTCACTATAGAGTACCCCACTGCAGGCTAAACAGCAAATACATTCTGACACACCCCCATAGTCAAAGTGGGGTACAATCAGCAGAGCAAGCAGTCATAGAGCAGGTTCACAATGGCAAGCAAAGCTAGAGGCTATCACAGAGGGCAAGTGAGGAGGAGGAGAGTACTGTGGACGGAGAGAAGATGGGAGGCAACGATTGAAGCTGCAGAGGCACGGGCACAGGAGCGGCTGACTCTGTAGCTACCGAAGCAAGGGCGACGGACTACTGGAGTGACTGGCTCCGTGGCTATAGACGAGCGGTAGGAGCAACGGACCCACTGGCGACTGGTGCAACAGGCTCACTGGCTACCGAAGCAAGGGCGACGGACTACAGGCGTTGCAGGCGACACGACAGCTACCTCCACACAACCTCCTCCAACTGACCCACACCCTTGACACACACCCCCTGCTGAACCCCTAACTCCACTCCCACGTCACCCCCCTAGCACCACTCCCTCGGCTCCCACACACCCACCCCCCTCAGCGGCAGCTGCAGCAGTGGGAGACGGAGGAGGAGGAGGGGGGGGGGGGGGGGGGGGGGGGGTCGGTGCTACAGATCCCCTCCCCCCTTCTGCTGCAACCGCAGCAGGGGGAGGTAGGAGAAGGGGGGGGGGGGGGGGGGGGGGGGGCTGGTGCCGCAGATCCCCTCCCCCCCCACTGCTGCACCCGCAGCAGGGGGGAGGTAGGAGAAGGGGCGGCGCAGGAGCCGCTCGGGCGACAGCAGGTTGGCCACACCCGCCACCCCCATACCCTCCCCCCACTGCTGCACGCGCAGCAGAGAGATGGAGGAGAAGGGGGGGGGGGGGCAGGGGGGGGGCTGGTGTTGCAGGTCCCCTCCCCCAACTGCCGCATCCGTAGCAGGGGGATGGCAGATCGCTTCCCCCCCACTGCTGCACCCGCAGGAGGGGGAGGTAGGAGAAGGATGACGGGGGGAGGGGGGGGGGGGGGGGGGGGGTCGGTGCTGCAGATCCCCTCCCCCCTTCTGCTGCACCCGCAGCAGGGGGAGGTAGGAGAAGGGTGGGGGGGGGCTGGTGCTGCAGATCCCCTTCTGCCTCCCCCTGAATCTCCAAGCTCCCCCCCTCTCCCAACACAAGGTGCGGCAGGGAGAGAGAGAGGAGGAGGCGTGGCGGCAGCTGCTGCTGCTGAGGCACATCCGCCACTCCCTCACACCCTCTCCCCGCCATCCCCATGGAGGGGGGGGAGGGGGGGGAGGGGGGCGGGGGCGGAGCTGCGCGTGCGACTGTAGGGCACGCGGGCAGGAGGAACCCCCTCTTGCCATCCCCTCACCCACCATGTTGCAACAGGGCACCGGGGCCGCGGTTAGGGGCGGCAGGTCGAGAGGGGCCATGGCTAGGGGCGACGGGGCCATGGCTAGGAACGGGGCCGGGCGCTGGGCAGATACGGGGCCGGGTGCTGGGCTAGGGACGTGGCCGGGTGCTGGGCAGGTACAGGGCCGGGCGTTGGGCAGGTACGGGGCCGGGCGCTGGGCAGGTACGGGGCCGGGCGCTGGGCAGGTACGGGGCCGGGGCGCAGGCTAAGTACGGGGCCGGGCGCGGGCGTTATACGGGCCGGGGCGGGCTAGGTACGAGGCCAGGCGCTGGCGACAGACAGGGCCGGGCGCGGGCTAGGTACGGGCCGGGCGCGGGCAAGAGACGGGGCTGGGCGCAGGCGTAAGACGTGGCCGAGCGCGGGCTAGGCACGGGCCTGTCGGGGGCTAGGTACGGGCCGGGCGCGGGGCTAGGAACAGGCCGATCGCGGGCTAGGTACGGGCCGGGCGCGGGCTAGGTACGGGCCGGGCGCGGACGACGGAATCGACAGGGCCAGCGGGGCCGAGGGGCCGAGCTAGGGGCGACGGGGCCAAGGGGCCGAGCCTGGGGGCTAGGGGCGACGCCAAGGAGCGACGGGCCAGGGCCTAGGCTAGCAGGGCATTAGGTGGTGGGCCCATTAATGTGAGGTCCTAGGAATTATTGCTCTGATACCATGTTAGAATACTAGCGTGACTTAGGAGCCATGGCTAGTGAGTGTCGAGAGAATTTTGGGTGAGGAAAGTCGAGAAGGAAGAATGAGGGGTTTCACTATAGAAAGTTGGGATACAAATAGCAAACCCTAAACTGGGTTGTACTCACTACAGAGTACCCCACTGCAGGCTAAACAGCAAATACATTCTGACACTACTTTACCCCGCCCAGAACCGTACAGCACCGCGGAGAATCGGGAATGAAGGGGACGGCGTCCGTGGCGGTCGTCGTGGCCCTTCCCCCCCCCCCCCCCCCGTCCCGCTTTCTTCCCTCCCGTCGCCTCGCTCTGCCCGTCGCATTCCCCCACCCCCCTGCCCTTCACCCCCCCCCCCCCCCCCCGTCGCGAGTGTTCGCGTGTGCAGCGGCGGTCGCTGTGGGTGGGAGAGGGAGGAGGGGAAGGGATTGGCGGTGGAACGCTGTGGGGGGAGAGGGAAAGGGGGAAGGGAGTGGCGGCGGAATGCTGTGGGGAAGAGAGGAAAAGGGGGAAGGGAGTGGCTGCGGAACACCAGCACCAGGAGCAAGCACCAGCACCGGCACCAGCCGACAGCACCAGGCACCAGCACCAGCGCCAGCCGCCAGCACCAGGCACCAGCGCCTGCACCAGGCACCAGCACTAGCGCCAGCCGCCAGCACCAGGCACCAGCGCCAGCCGCCAGCACCAGGCACCAGCACCAGCGCCAGCCACCAGCACCAGGCACCAGCGCCAGCCGCCAGCACCAGGCACCAGCCGCCAGCACCAGGCACCCGCGCCAGCGCCAGCCGCCAGCACCAGGCACCAGCGCCAGCCGCCAGCACCAGGCACCAGCACCTGCGCCATCTGCAGCACCAGGCACCAGCACCAGCGCCAGCCGCCAGCACCAGCGCCAGCCACCAGCACCAGGCACCATTACCAGCGCCAGCCACCAGCACCAGGCACCAGCGCCAGCCGCCAGCACTATGCACCAGCACCAGCGCCAACCGCCAGCTCCAGGCACCAGCGCCAGCGCCAGCCGCCAGCACCAGGCACCAGCACCAGCGCCAGCCGCCAGCACCACGCACCGGCACCAGCGCAAGCCGCCAGCACCAGGCACCTGTGACCAGCAGCCCCACATGTGACCAGCAGCCCCACCTGTGACCAGCAGCCCCACCTGTGACCAGCAGCCCCACCCGTGACTAGCAGCCCCACCTGTGACCAGCAGCCCCACCCGTGACCAGCAGCCCCACCTGTGACCAGCAGCCCCACCCGTGACCAGCAGCCCCACCTGTGACCAGCAGCCCCACCCGTGACCAGCAACCCCACCTGTGACCAGCAGCCCCACCTGTGACCAGCAGCCCCACCCGTGACCAGCACCCCCACCTGTGAAGAATTGGACAGGGACCATCGTGGGTGGGGAGGGGTCTAGAGGAAGAAACGGGGGGAGGGAGTGCGGTTCCAGGGGGCGGTTGAAATGAAGGGTGAGGTTACAGGGGGTTGGTTGATTGGGGGTGGGGATGTGGGGGTTAGTAAGAGGGGACGCTGCGGCCACCCCCCCACCTCCACTCCTCATCCCCCACTCAACCCCCCCTGTGTAAAAGGGGGTCAGTAAGAGGGGACGCCGCGGCCACCCCCCCACCTCCTCTCCTCATCCCTCATTTACCTCTTCCTTTGTTCTTATCTCCTCTCCTCTCCTGTCTCTCTCTCGCCTCCTCCTCCTCGCTTACTTCTCTACAGTCTTTCACAACGCCTGCAATACCCCTTCTGGGGGTGTGACTTACTCTAGCTATGTGTTGCAGGCAGTTACGGAGGTGTGTCGCGGTATATATTTATATATGTTTATAACTGCCTGTAGCTTTAGCTCTAGTGTAGTTATGATTCCTTGTTGTTGGTGGTGCACCTTTGCTAGTTTGCTATATGTACCTTATGTGCCATAATGAACAACACACATTCTCACTTTCTCTTGGCCACAATTCTCTCAACACCCGCTTGGCCTAGGCTACTAAGCCTAGGCCCTAAACCCGGTTCCTAGTTAACTTAGTATTGTAACAACGCAGCGGTCGTCACATGGTTACACCTTCAGCCTTGGTTCCGACTGTGTTTCGTGGCGGTCTACCTGCTCGTCTTCGGTTCTCAGCTCTAGTTGTAAGGCTGAGATTTACGCTGGGGCCATGGCTACACAGGAGTTACACTGGCTCACCTACCTGCTGACAGACTTGGGAGAGCTACCTCGTTCTCCTCCAGTTCTGTACGTCGACAACAAGGCCATGCTGGCCTTGTGTCAGGAGCACAGACTGGAGCACAGAACGAAGCACATTGCTCTGCGCTACTTCCTTGCTCGAGAGTAGCAGCAGCGTGGTCAGCTTCGTCTTGCTTACGTGGCCACTTGGGCCAACACTGCTGATATCTTTACCAAGGCACTTCAGCCTTGTGATCATCAACGTTTCTGTACTCTGCTAGGTCTTGTGCTTACCTGGCCTCACTTGCTCACCTCTTGACTTTGCTTGTACTGTGATCTATATATACCTGCACCTGCATGCTTACACTTGTTAGGTTGAGATCAGTGTACTGCTTGTTTACCTTGATGTAGAACTCTGCATGTAAACTAGCCTTGTGGCCTTTTGTTTGTGCTCAGAATGCGTGGTGACATCGTGATCCACCCTGAGCTTGATCTTGCCTTGTTCTGTTGCTTGTTCCCCACTTTGCCTATGGGGGTGTGTCAGAACTATACTCTAGGCTGTAGTGGGGCACTCTTTATGGGGTACAGCCTTGATAGGTTTTGCCCTTACAAACCTTGTACTCTCCCCTTTCCAATCATCATTTTTCGTTCTAACTTTAACATAACCACGCTGGTGCATACGCGCATGCTACGTTCACACGTACTGCCATCCAAGAACTCACAGAGACCAGAGCTGCAGTCGAGACAGCCGGAAGCGAGCTTACGTGCATAAGCCCACTTAACGTGGTCGAGTAGAGAGAAAAATGCAGGCTCATCCTCGACCTGAGAAAAGTCAACGCAAACGTCATCGTTCCAAAATTCAAGTGCGAAGGACTCAGCCGCGTGGCAGACGTGGCACGCGCTGGGGATTGGATGTTTTCTATTGATCTCAAATACGGGTACCATCACATCCACATCCATCCCTCATGCTGGAAGTTTCTCGGTTTTGGATTCAATGGGCGCACTTACTCCTTTCGTTCATTGCCGTTCGGTCTTGCGACAGCCCCATTCGTCTTCACGCAACTCATCAAGCAGGTAGCCCGTCGCTGGCGGGAGCAAGGCATTCGAGTAGTACCATACGTGGACGACATCATATTCCTGTGCCAGTCAAAAGCCTACGCACAGGCCACTTGCCACCGTGTAATACTGGACCTTAAAGCAGCGGGTTTGGTGATAAATGCGAAGAAATCACAGCTATCACCATTGCAACACCTTTGATTCTTGGGTGTGGAGCTGGACACGGCCACCGGCCGATTTACCATCGGTCCCGAACAACGAGCCTCACTACATGCAACCATTCGGAACCTGTTGAGCGCAAGCAAGGCATGTCGACCCGTCTCAGTCCGCCAAGTGGCCAGAATCACAGGCATGCTCGCGTCAATGGGCGTTGCACTGGGCGCAAGAGCTCGTGCTTTTAGCCACGCCATGCTACAAGTGATTAATGACGCACCTTTATGGAAAAGCAGCGTAATCATCCCCCCACCCGCGGCGCAGGAGCTAAACTTCTGGCTCAAAGAATTTGATAGGTTCAACGGTGCACCGTTTCACGTTCGAAACAGCTGCGATGTTGTAATACATCTGGATGCTAGCGCTCACAGTTGGGGCGCCACTTTGACCACATTCCCTGGCGGCCTCGAAGAAGCTAGCGCAACAATGCTAGAGCCGCTGCGAGCGACGTCCAGCACGCGGAGGGAGATCGAAGGAGTGCTTTGGGCACTCCAAACATACTCCAGCAAGATCACGCACAAACATGTTCTTGTGCAGGTGGACAATCAGGGCGTCTTCTTCATCCTTCGCAAAGGTGGCTCGCGCAGCCCCAACCTTACCACGGTCTGCCAAGGCATCATTCGGATATGCATGGAGCACGGCATGCGTCTAATCGTCGAATGGATCCCACGCGAGCTAAACTCACACGCCGATGAGCTCTCAAAAGCAGTCGATCATAACGACTACTCGTTGAAGATGCCGTGGTTCCGCATCTTAGAACGACGTTGGGGTCCCCATTCCATCGACCTCTTTGCAAACTCCCGCAACTCTCAGCTGCCACGCTTCTGCACGAAAGTTCCTCATCCATAAGCCACCGCAGTAGATGCATTCTTGCTTGCATGGACATCAGAAAATAGCTTTGATCTCCCCCCGCCCCATTTAGTGTCGGCCGTCCTCCATCACGCGCAGCGCACCCATGCATCGCTCACAATGATCATCCCACACTGGCCGGGTGCAAACTGGTGGCCACTCCTACAACCTTCCCCACGCAACTGGGCACCGTATATCCACGCGCACATTCCCTTGACACACGGCAGCCAATGTGTGGCAGCTGGAACACATTCCGCTGCTTTTTCGGGCACTGGATTACCACACAGCCCAATAATCGCGCTTCGGGTGGTTTTTGACTAATTGAGAATGTACGTGCCTTGTGTCCATATCTACTCCCAAAGCTACACAACCAACTCGTCAACATGCTCACACAATCGCGAGCGAATTCGACGATCCGTACATATGAACCGTACTGGGCCAAGTTTCGGGCCTTCTGCACAAAGGTGGATCTTCCATTTCTTCCCGCATCCGACATGGCCCTCGGGCTATACTTGGTGCACGCAACCCAACGCAGAGCAACCTTGTCTGTAGTGCGCTCACGTGCTCGGCAGTCAGCTTCGCCCATCGCATGACTGGAAGCAAATGCCCGACTATCGAACAGTTTACCACCCAAGTGCGGGACTACGCGAAACGACACTGCCCTCGCCCTAGTCGTTTGAAGGAGCCCGTATCAATCCAACAAGTTCGGGACATGTCCGCGAACTACTTGCAGTCGGACAATCCTGCTGAATTTCAGAAGGGGTTGATCCCTATCCTCATGTACTCCAGATTTTTGCGATACTCCGACCTGGTTGCCATCCAGTGGCAAGACATCCAATTCTACGACGAAGTCATGTGGATCCTCATCCCACACTAAAAAACGGACCAGGCTGGTCATGGAACTTGGATTCCCATCGCAGCAACAACGGACCCCTGTTGCCCCGTGCGCTGCACCCAACGCTTCCTCCAACTCACTGGCTATGGCCCGCATTTAGAGGGGTTGCTGATTTGCGTTTTTGGCCACACTTTAGCCAACAAGGGCCAGGCCAAGCCACCCTCGTACACAACGATCCGGAATTGGTCTAAAGAAGCATTCGCAAAAGTTGGACTTGGGGAGCAGCAGCTCGGCACGCACTCTTTCCGAAAGGGCGCGGCAACCGTAGCAGCTGTCAGAATCCCAACCACTAGACCATTGGGATAAAAGGGCTTGTTTCAGTAGCGGGTCAGTGCGCCCATAACCCCCCAGGCAAACGCGCCTATAACCCCCCCTAGGATCGATCGGGGATCTCACATTGTAGCTCTACTGACACCCCCTCACACTGGGAGGCCCAGGACTGAGCACAGTGGCAACGGCCAACATATGCATACACCGGGATTCGAACCCGAGACCGCTCTGATACCATGTCAGAATTGTCAGAATCCCAACCACTAGACCATTGGGATAAAAGGGCTTGTTTTAGTAGCGGGCCAGTGCACCCATAACCCCCCGGGCAAACACGCCTGTAACCCCCCCTAGGATCGATCGGGGATCTCACAGTGTAGCTCTACTGACACCAGCCAATATCGGCGTGCCGGACAGGATCTTCAAAAGGATGGGCAGGTGGCAAATTGACATAGCCAAAGAGATGTACGTCACACCATACGTCGGATATCTTATCAAGGCATCCCGCGACCTACAGGACCCGACATACGCACTGCCCCTAGAACAGCACGCAGAGGCACTCTTACGCAACCGGAAGCCGCCGCTGCCCATGTCTCAAGAGGCCCCAGTTGCAATGAGAACGATGCCAAATTATAAGGACAAGAAAGCAAGCTTTCTCAATATTATAATTTTTAAACACATTGATGTTTTTCAAAATTGTGTATTGTGAAGGCGAAGCTGCCTGTACCAAATATTTGGCAGCGTCAAAGCGCGCTAAACGCCCTTCTCCAACTACAAAAACGGTGGGTTGGAGTTCATTCCCTCCACCCACGTTTCTCGTTTTCCAACGACTCAATCAACATCCCCACCACCCACACCGGACCAACTACAAGACCACAGCTGCTTGGACGGACGACTCCATAGCTAGTAATATTTGCATGTACTAGCATGTGTTACGATGCATATGTTGTAATAAGCCAGTTGCAATGAGAATGATGCCCCATTTGCAATAAGAACAATGCCATATTATAAGGACAAGAAAGCAAGCTTTCTCAATACAAGGGGGATTTTGTCAAAATATGTTTACATATTCTATATAACCGTTTGCAGTTGTAGTGTAGATATTGCATCATGTTTG